TATCAGCAACTATAGATTTAGAAGATTGTACTTATTTTTTGTAGTGGTAATTTAAAAACCTTGGCTAGTATCAGTCATACGTATGATTAACCATTGTAGCGTTTGCATGAGCATGAGGATGAGTATACTAGCAAACCTTAGTATTTATACTTCTATTTCCAAAATAATATGGAATCTAATAGTGTATTTAAAGGAGTTTGGTACAAGTTGAATTGTTGAACAATTTCATCATAGTGCAAAGGCCCATACGAGAGTGACCATCAGAGACTTTCTTTACAGTTCATGGTTTCCATGCATGAATGACATCTTGCGCGCGGAGATTTGTTGGTGCGAAAAGCTGGTAGCATAACGCACGCAAAAATATGTCAGGACAACAGTAGGTACCAGTGGTGAGGCAAAACGCTGAAATAGGATGTGATTTTTTTTTTAAATGTCATATGAACTTATACTCATTTTTTAATTTGTCATATAAACTAAATTTTAAGTAATTTGTCATACCAATTTTTTAAAATCATAATTTGTCATCTTTCTCTAATTTCTCAACTTTTCCATTTAATAAGTTATGTGCCTCGCACATGACTTGTGTTTAGGGTTATATCGGTCATTCTAATACCTTACTTCCCTTCAACAAAAAATTATGGGGTTTCTCAGGCAATGAAACAATATTTTTGATATGATAGCAATGAAATGATTACGCAATGCACTGTCTTCTAGTTATTCCAAATATGTAATGATACACAAGTGAGAGTTTGCATTTTAGCATGTCACGAAGACATAATTTCATACGGGCTCTGTAAATGAGAAACAAGTTGATGTTTTGTGCCACAAATGAAGTTGTAAATGCATGGCTAATGAAAAGTAAAAAATTTAAGTGTTTGTATTAAAGAAAAGTAAAAAAACACGTGAAAATATGTTAAAATGACCTAAATAACCCTAAACACAAGTTATGTGCGAGGCACATGACTTATATTGGATGGAAAACTTAACAGAGTTAGTGTGAGATGACAAAATTAATGATTTTGTAAAGTTGATATGACAAATTGAAAAATATGAACAAGTTCATATGACATTTAAAAAAATTTCCCAATAGGAAGTCGTAGTCATATTGGAACTACCTTTTATTTTCTATTAAAACACAAGTAGATGCGGAAGTATTTGGACAATACGTGAGTAGACCACAAAATTACCTAAGGAAAATAGACATAGTTTACCCTATGGTAATTGACTTTTATGCCGTCCTGTCATCGGGTCATAACCGGTCCAATGATGACAGGCACCGACTCTAGTGATTGAATATTTATCAGACTCACAAATAGATCTACGCGATAGCTCCAATATAATGAATTGGGAGATTTGGTTTCCCCTATGACCCTGTGTGGAGTCACTAATGTTAGAACCAATAAAATGTCAAATATATAATACATTACAATTTGCACAGTTTATTTCTAATGAAAAATTCAACAACAGATACAATATATCAAAATATAAACACTTAATGAAATTGCATATAAAATCACAAATCACTGACTTGTTCTTTGAAGATAGAGGCTTGCAGAAGCAATGACATAAATTCGTCTCTACACCAGTGTAGCAGTTCAATGGACATCTATCTTGCAAGATACAACTATCTAACCCAAGTTCTTGCACTCAAACTTGAATTCTTGGCGAATTGGTTGTGGTGTTTCTCTGTGAAGTATAAAAAGGAAGCGATGGAATTGTTATTTTGGTTTCTAATTTGACTGCCATATATATAATGGCGTAATGGAGCAGTTAAAGCCGTTCATGTTTATCTTTAAGAACGGTTGTAATTGTTCATGTGAGCAGTTTTATCCTTTTGGAAAAAACTGAATGCAAAAATAAAAAATGTAAAAAAATACTTGTGTTTTTCATCCATCTGAGCCCAAGAGCCCCAAGGCCCAAGACCCATCTTTGACATTTAATATATGCACCTAAACCCTCCAAGTCTAAGGCCTAAGGTCCATGGCTTTGGCCCAATTTCTTTCAAACCATAAGTGTGGGAACACACTTATAAAGAGGATATGTGGAAGAGGAATGGACGATGTGGGACTAATGGTCCCCCACAAGTTCACAAGTTCCAACAATACCCCACATTTTCTATTCAAACTCTAGCAATACCCCACATTTAAATAGAAAATAAGATACTAACAAAATTAGTAATGGTTTTTTTTTTTTCCAAAGAATTTAGATATGATACGCATCTGGATAGGTGTCTTTTGGACTTGAACCTTCTCTAGTCAGTACTTATATGATTTACCTAATGAAGCAGTGAATTTAATATCTTGAACTGAACATATCACATCTTGACACATTTCAATTCATACGGTTGTGTTCATTTTGATCCTGAACATATCCTGATTTCATGAGACCTTTAGAGAATTGTAGCCATATCGATTCTCAAAGATGTGACCCCACATCAATCTCATATAGGTAATGCTAATTAAGAATAGCCTGTTCTATTCATCTTAAACATAAGATATTAGCATTATTAAGAATAGCGATTCAGCCTCTACATCTTACAGGTAACACACTGTTTACCATCATAGGAATGAGTAAGGATTGTGTGTTTCTTACGTTGAGTTTTCCTCAACTAGTTTGCCTATTAAACCTAGACCATGGGATCTCCAATTAGCTAGGTTAGGTTTCCGTCAAGTTGTAACTCATTGAGTTGGCTTTAAACCAATTCCCCTCGATGTAAATGCCACTTGATCCTTGGATAGGCTTTTTGTCAAAGGATCGGCAATATTCTCCTTAGATTTAATATAGTCAACGGAAATAATTCCATTCTTGAGTAGCTGTCTAATGGTTCTATGTCGTCGCCTTATATGTCTCGACTTCCCATTATATTTAGCATTTTTGGCTCGACCGTGTGCAGCCATACTGTCACAATGTATACATATTACAGTCACAGGCTTGGGCCATAATGGAATATCTTCCAGAAAATGTTAAAGCTATTTAGCTTCATCAGTAGCTGTATCTAAGGCTATAAACTCTGATTCCATTGTCGAACGTGCTATACATGTTTGCTTAGACTATTTCTGCGACACAGCTGCTCCACCAAGTGTAAATACATATCCACTTGTGGATTTACTGTCTGTGCTCCCTGACATCCAATTTGCATCACTATATCCTTCTAATACTGGGGGATATTGAGTGTAATGTAAACCATAGTTCATTGTATGCTTTAAGTATCTTAATGCCCTTATTAAAGCATTCCAATGATCTCTTCTAGGATTACCTGAATACCTACTTAGTTGACTTATTGAATAAGCAAGATCAAGTCTGTACAATTCATAATGTACATCAAGCAACCTATAACTTGGGTATACTCCAATTGAGATACACTATCTTCTTCATTTTTAGTAAGTTTATGAATGTGATCAAATGGAGTTACTGCAGGTTTACAATCATAATGTTCATATATATGAAAAAGAAGCGATGGAATTGTTATTTTGGTTTCTGAGCTGACTGCCATATATATAATGGCATAATGGAGCAGTTAAAGCCGTTCATGTTTATCTTTAAGAACGGATGTAACTGTTCACGTGATCAGTTTTATCCTTTCGGAAAAAACTGAATGCAAAAATAAAAAACGTAAAAAAGATACTTGTGTTTTTCATCCATCCGAGCCCCAAGGCCCAAGACCCATCTTTGACATTTAATATATGCACCCAAACCCTCAAAGTCTAAGGCCCAAGGTCCATGACTTTGGCCTAATTTCTTTCAAACCATAAGTGTGGGAACACACATATAAAGAGGATTTGTGGAAGAGGAATGGGCGATGTGGGACTAATGGTCCCTCACAAGTTCACAAGTTCCAACAACTAATGAGGGGCGTGTTGTAGAATAGAGTCTCATTTCAGAGAAATACCAAAATAATATATAGCTTATAATTGCAAGATTCACTTCTAATATCATTAAGACCTTTTGTGATAAAACCATACATCTAGTAATTAATAGGTGGTCAATTGTTGGAGGCTATTTGTGATAAAACTCCACACCAAATAATATATGATTAAGTTAAAAACTATACCAATAATATTGGTGGTGAGCTGTACTAAGCCTACGGTTTATCAGTCACTTTTTTCTTTCCTACATAGAATTGTACTTTGGTAACGGTAGATAAAGAATGAAGTGTATTAAGTTAGTGTGATATTGTGCACTTTAATGAGAGAATCGATCGTGCAATTGAGCTAACACCTTGATCTCTTGGTGTGCTAGATATTGATCAATTAATCTCATAGTGTGTCTGCTAAGCACAAAGCAGTTCTTAAACATCATATTCCCACGTTTCAGTTTCCCATTCTGTTAAATTGATGAGCAGTGTTCGATCTGACATATATTGTCTACACCACATGATAATTTAGACCCTCCAAATCTTCAATGATCAATTAGTATGTTTTCTTCTGAAGAACATGACTCAAAATCTTATATAATTTCCATAAGCACATGCATCTTTGGGGACACACTTAGGGCCCGTTTGTTTGACAGGATTAGGGAGGACTGGACTGGACTAAACTGTAGTCCCTTGTTTGGTCTGCACCAGGATTAGGTTTAATGACCTTAGGTTGGACTCGCTCGGATTATACACCTCCTTACGAGTTCCTAACGAGGATCCCCAATTTCGGGCGGACTCGTAAGCCCTGAGAGAAAGACGCGAGAGAGTCACTCGTCCAAGAACCTACGTCACTCGTCCTCCTCGTCCTCATCTCTGTGTCTTCCCTCATCGTCGTCCTTGCCCTGCTCCTTCATCGTCGTCCTCCTCACCCTCATCTCTACATCTTCCCTCATCTGCATCTGCTCGCCCTCATCTGCTCCGAGTTGTCTGGTAAACTTCGAATCTTCGATTTGTTTTGCAAATCGTGATATTACTGAGCTTCATTTGATTTTGTTGTTTTGGGTTTGAGAAATTTTCAATGATAGACCTCTGCACTTGAACAAATTTAACTTGATTGTGCTGCTTTGTTGTTCATACCTTGTGTGGAGGTTCTGAGACTTCTGAGTCTTCCGACAGGGATGGAAAGAAAAGTGACCTTAGATGATTTCAAAGTTGGATCTGTTCCGACTTTAATATACATCCCGGACTTCATTACGGATAATGAACAAACCATGCTTCTAAATAAGGTAGAAATCCCTCTTCCTTACATATTCCCTTCATCTTTTACAATGCTTTATTGATTTTTTTTTAACCTGAAATTCTTTGTATGTTGGCTTCATCCTGCTGTATAGATTTATGAAGGCCCAGTATCAAAGTGGAAATCATTAAAGAATAGGAGGTTACACAACTGGGGTATGTGTTTTGTCTAGGTAATAGGTATATGCATACTGATTTTCCATGTAATGCCTTTGAATTTGACTTACATTATGCATATACAAATAATGGAGTTAGTTTTTCTTTTGACTGACAGGCAGTATTGTCCATGAAAAGGGTCTTCTGCCACAGGATTGTAAGTTAGAAAGAATATCTGTCTTCACAAATTGATATTGACATTGATATCTTTATGTTTATTGTCGTTACCCTTTTTGGTTTTGTGCGATATTGACATTGATATCTTTATGTTTATTATCTTTAATTTGTTTGATTTTGTGCGGACAAATTTATTGTCATTCGTGTTTTGTACTTGGTTAATAGTTTGTATCTCATCTAAAAAAAAACTAGTAGTAGAAACATGAATAAGCAGATGGTATAACTTGGAACTTCCTTGTTAATATCAAGAAAGAAAAAAACAAAACCAGTGCAACATGAATAAGCAGATAGTATAATGTGGATGGAAATTGAGGAAATAATTGTAAATAAGATGGTTTTCTTCAAGAGACTTTGTGCTACAGGTGAGGAACATGGCTTAAGGTGGAGGGTCTAGAGTGGTAACCGATTAATGTAGACGTAATTAGGTGTCTTGAAAGGTCTTTTGAGGAGGAATAAGTTTGGAGGCAGTGTTTGATTGTGCTAAAGAAGTCTCACAGTTTGTATGGTTCTCTTATGGAAAGATTTAATGATTCTTGGGAAGTAAACTAATCAAGCCATAGTAGCGAAAACCATATGCACATCCTGGTTTATTGATTGGCCTTTGGAATTAGCTTTTGACCTCATTTTGTAGATTTTGAATGGTGGTTGTTACCAACTCCCACCAAAGGAAAATATACTAATCAAACTGCTCATGCTCAAGAGCATGCTTATCATATGTAGTATTCATTTTCGGCAAAGGTATTCTTGGAGTTTAGGGATAGTTTTTTTGAGGCTATATCTTATGATTGGAGTCGTGGTGTTTTTTAATTTTTGTTTTCTGTCTTATATTGTAATGTCTAGCTTTGTTTTGCAACTACTTCTTGAGTAGTATAGACGTTATAGATAGTGTACAACTTTCCCCCATATTATATTGATACTATTTCTTTATGAAAGTAAATTTCTTTTCAGAAAAAGTATAAAGTGCACTAATATCACATGGACTATTTGGCGTGTGAGATTTTGCCACCCCCAAAGAAAATAGATTTACAATTGAACAAGTCATGAAGTTATTGCCTCCACATGGAAAAGAAAAAAGAAAAAAACTATTGACTCTACAAGCCATAAATCATCTTTAAATATGTACAACTTTCCTGGTATGTGAAGACTTGTTTAATTATTACCTTGGTATGTGAAAATAATTGTGGTGGCACTCCTTGTAGTAAGTGCAAAGCTACTGATGATAAAGCAATCTTTAGGCAGTTCTAAAATTCTATGTGATTAAGCAATTGTTAATAGTATTTTCATTGTTTGTTAATTCCTTTGCTCAAAACAATAAAATCTCTTTCTTGCAGTGCCATCATGGCTAACCAAGATTACATGCAAGATATATGAAGAATCAGGGCTGTTCCCATTGCCAATTAATCATGTCCTTGGAATGCTATACTATAGTTAACTGGCATTTTGTAAAATATCCTGGATGAAAGTTTGACTTGTCACAAGTATCTTCTTATGTACTTGTGAATGATGTTTTAAGAGTCAATCAATGACAAAGATTGGCTATCACAAGTATCTTCTTATGTACTTGCATTTGTTGAAGTTGCATGTATTGGGCACTCTTCTTTTTCTTCTTTTGGGTGATAGAGTTTAAACCAAGCTGCATTTGCAGATTAAAAGAGCTTTAGAGAAGGGATGTGGATTAAAAGAGCTCAGGGTTTGTGTATACGGATCCCATAAGCCAGTGATGGCTTAGCTGCAAAAGCCTTTATATAGAATAGAGTTGAGAAATTCCATAGTTCAAGTTCCCAAACACTCACTTTGCTGCCTGAATGTGCCTTAAGGGGTGGGGAGTCTCATCCACTTGAAATGTAATGTTGGTCATTATATGATAAGCTAAAGAATTCTGAAAATTTATAAATATTTGATCACCAATTTGCCATCTTAAACTCAACTATAATATGTTCCAATTCTATTAGCAGGTACTTAAAACAAAACAATTGTCCTGTTTTTTTTAAGATTCATAATATACATGGCAAAAATATGCTCCAATTAACCCAGATCATGAGATTTGTAGCATTACTCTATTACACGACAAAAATTTTAGGGCATTGGGCACATGTATTGCAGCTATTAAAATAGAATAATAATGTAGTCCTAGTCTAAGCGAACACAAATCTGGTGAACAATACTGTTTTCATTATCCTGCTTCTTAGTTCAACACTACACCAAACGTTTCACTAAGTTAGTCCAGCTTAGTCTAGTCTAAGCCAGTCCAGCTTAGTCCATGCAGTTAGTCCAGTCCGAGACAGTCCGGTGCAACAAACGACCCCTTAGCTTATTATAATTCACAAGATTTTTAGGATCTTTATTACCCACGAGAGGAAGGGTGGGCACTGCTGGCAATTGCAACACGTAATGCGTACCTTCAATATGTTCATAAAGTAATAATAGTTAGTTTGAACGTTTGAGCTCTGATTTTGAATTATACGTCTGGCTCACACACAATTTTTTTTGAACGACTCTTCACAAGTAAATTCTATCAAACCTCAGTTGTAGTAAAATACATTTAATACTGTTTTTGTTGTGATATAAATTCTAACACATATGTGATTGTGTAAATTCTTGATAGCTTTGGTTTACTCTTTATGCTAGTGATTCTTTCTTATTAGGATTTGCATTGAGCATGTTTCTATCTCCTTATTGTTCACTTTTGGCACATACAATGGGAAATACTCATCCCAAAAATTCATCAATTCTCTCTCTTTCTTTGCCGCACCCTTCAGAGGAAATAGGCCACAACACATTATCAGCACGCTCTTAACGTCAATCTAAGGAAATTCTGCTACAAACCAGTTCACATGATCTAGCATTGCAATCTAGGTTCTTCTAAACATTGTCTTAATTGTCGATATTTTTTCAATCTAATTGCATAAAACATTCACCATTGAGCATGAACTCTTTTTTTTTTTTAATTTTTTATACCAGAATTATATATTCTACTCAAAGTATTGTTTGCAATTATACTATTATTATTGTTATAATTGTGGTGAATTGTACAGTGTGAATAAGAAAAGAAAAGGAAAAAAAAGTAAAAATTGTGCTAGATGTTGAGAGTTGTCCCACATTGGTGAGGAACAAGGTCTGATATGTGCTTATATGATCTTGAGCCACATTAGTGAGGGACAAGGTTTGATATGTGCTTATATGATCTTGAGCTACTCCTCATATTACCAATTGATTTTATGGTGGAACCTCAATTTCATCATGGTATCAGAGCTAGGTTGTCCACGTGTGAAGCTCAACGGCCACACGCACTCCACGTCACCCAGTTGTTGTCCACGTATAGGCTTGAAAATTCGCCACACGTGTGAGTCGTGTTGAGAGTTGTATCACTAGACTCACGGCGAAAAGCCATGAGCTTGTGCCAAGTCGAGCCGAGTTGTCTAGGCCATCGCCTGAAACCGTGAGCCGTGCCGATCATTTCTCTGAGCGAGATGTGGAGCTGAGCTCTCACAAGCTCAACACAAAGGCCTTCACATATTGATAGGAAAAGAGTTATGATTAGGGATGGGCTAGCAACTTGAGTGGTAATGATAGGAAAGGGATTAGGATTACGGTAATGGGGTAGAAACTTCAGTAACATTGATAGGAAAAGGACTAAGATTAATGGGCTAGAATCACATAAGCATAAAATTACATAGAAAATAGGTAATTATCACCCAAAAAAAGGTAAGTGCATATTTTTGGGTGAGATTAAGTACTCTGGTTGAGTGCAAAACAGGATTAAGAGATTTGTAATATCTTTGTATCCATATTTTTAGCTTAAACTTTAGAGATCACCGACCCAAAATCCCACCTTGATCTTATGCTTCACAATCAAGTCACCGGTTCTTACCATTATATATACCAGTTGCCTTCATAACAAGACATACCAAAGTCTAGAGAGCTTACCCTATTCTCTCCAAAATTTCTCAACAATATTCTAGGGTTTGCCATATTCTCTCCAAGATTGCACAATAATATTCTAGGATTTTGCCTTTAGTTTCCTTCCCTCTAGGGTTTGCCATTAGTTCTCATTCCGTCTAGGGTTTTCCATTAATATCACCACCGCTATTTCTAACAATGGCTAAGGGTCCTGATAATAAGATCACAGACAAAGATATTGCTAATGGGAAAAAGGAGAGGGAATGTCGAAGAAGGGTTGAAATCAAGAGAGTTGAAGACAAGAACAAGCGTCACGTGACCTTCTCCAAGCGCAAAAGGGGTATTTTCAACAAAGCCGCGGAACTCAGCGTTTTGACTGGCGCAGAGACGGCTGCAATTGTCGTGTCAAGCAATGGCAAGGTTTTCTGCTTCGGAAGCCCCTCCCCTGACGCGGTCATTGACCTCTACCTTGGCGACAATACCTCCTTACTACCGGAAGGTCAACCAGATAATCATCTCCAAAACAACAACATTCACCATTCTAGTAGTAAAAAACAAATAGAGGATTATGTGAAAGCTTCGAGACGCTTGAAGGAAGCGAAAATACTGAAGGGTGGGAAGAATAGTAATAATAATGGAGGAGAAGGAGGGGAAACAGGGTGTTCTTATGGGTGGTGGGAGAGGTGGATTGGGATGATGAGTAGTTTGGAAGAATTAGAAGAGTACAGGGATGCCCTGTACAAGTTGAAACACAACGTGGAGGTTCGAACTAATCAGATGATTCGGGAAACTAGTCCTTCCAATCACTTTTCCCCACTTTTGTTTATGGATGATATCTGGAGTTCTCCTGAATTAAGCCAGGGTCAAGGGTGGCCCCGGAATTTAATTTCTTCATATGATATCGATGTAAAGAAGTATGATTGGAACGGAGTTACCTATCTTTTGTAATCGCCAAGGCTTTTGGTGAAGGGTTTTTAGCTGGATAGGGTTGATGACTTAACAGGTTATATATATGGCAATTATCAAGTAGTTTTATCAAGTATATATAGTTGGTTAATAGTTCTTTCAATTAATTAGTCATATATGCATGCTGCTTGATTTGAGGTTTTTTTTTCTTTAAACGATTTGAGGTTTGGGATGCTTTATGCATGTTGTACTTTTATCTGTAGTTTATATGAAAAATATAAAGTTATTATAGGAATGTATCACCTGGTGACTTAAGGAAAAGATACAACCCCTAGAGTTTTATATTGCATTTGAGAGCAAAAGTGAGTTTCATTGAGAGCAAACTTCGTGAGGCTTTATAAACCTAGATATCATGTATATTTTAGAACATGTTCATTGTTCTTCTTATATATTTATCTTCGTTTTCATTGTTACACAGTATGATGCTAGATCACCCAAATTACGTTTATCGTATACTGAATCTTATATGGCTATAGCTCAAAGGTTTGATATAAGTTTCCCTAAACAAATGATTTGGGATACTCATTCCGATTACTTCTTACTAGGCCTGGCAATTCCTGACACGACCCGATAACCCGACACGACACGACACGAAATTAACAGGTGTTCGGGTCGACACGATAACGAAACGGGTCGTTATCGGGTAACCCGATAAGCACCTGTTAAGATAACGGGTTTGTTCGGGTATACACGTGGGTAACACGATACACGATAAGCAGAATATTAATTTAATAATTTATAACCCTAAAAAAATACTATAATAATTATATATATATATTAATTTAACAATTTTATACCCCTAAAAACTATAAAAATAATTATATATATATATATATTAAATTAACTATAATAATTATAATAATTATATATACTATAATAATTATACCCAAAATATTAACTATAATAATTATATATATATATATTAAATTTTATACCCCTAAAAACTATAATAATTATACATACAAAATAAATAGATTTAAATCTACTTAATAAATAAATATATATATATACACACACACACCATTGAACTTCATGGGATACGAATTATACGAAACTAATTTCAATGATCCAACCGTCAAACATGTTTGTATATACTTCGAGATCGCATACGCCAAAAATTGAAAAAAACAAACATTTAGAGAGCAAGTAACGGGACAAAACTTTTCGATGGTTATAAACGAAAAATCACGATTTAACGGTTATTTTAACTCCGATTTTGATGATTTTTTACAACCACACTCCTTGACCCTATATGAATACAATGATTGAATTCGATCTTCAATTTAAAATATTTACACTAGTGGATACCACAAAAATCTTATGTTATATACTTAATAAAAGTATGAATAAACTCTTAAGTATTAGTGAATCTATTGTTTTGATGGGATACTCATTCTACAAAACTAGTTTCAATGATCCAACCGTCAAACATGTTTTTATATATTTTGAGATCGCATACGCCAAAAATTGCAAAAAAAAAAACATTCAGAGAGCAAGTAACGGGACAAAACTTTTCGACGGTTATAAACGAAAAATCACGATTTAACGGTTAATTTAACTCCGATTTTGATGATTTTTTACAACTACACTCCTTGACCTTATATGAATACAATGATTGAATTCGATCTTCAATTTAAAATATTTACACTAGTGGATACCACAAAATCTTATGTTATACTTAATAAAAGTATGAATAAACTCTTAAGTATTAGTGAATCTATTGTTTTAATGGGATAACTCATTCTACGAAACTAGTTTCAATGATCCAACCGTCAAACATGTTTGTATATATTTCGAGATCTCAAACGCCAAAAATTGCAAAAAAAAAACATTCAGAGAGTAAGTAACGGGACAAAACTTTTCGACGGTTATAAACGAAAAATCACGATTTAACGGTTAATTTAACTCCGATTTTGATGATTTTTTACAACTACAACTCCTTGACCTTATATGAATACAATGATTGAATTCGATCTTCAATTTAAAATATTTACACTAGTGGATACCACAAAATCTTATGTTTATACTTAATAAAAGTATGGTATAGTACTATTGTTTTATTTTTTTTCATAATTATTTTGGTAAACTTCTCATAATTTGAATGATTTTTAATGTTTGGTTTTTCTATGCTTAGTTTATGCAGAAGATAGTTATGACGTGGAAAACCTTACTGAAAACATCATCAACATAACTCTTGAAGGCAATAGATCAAGCCAAAGTTCCAATGCAATTTTATGATGATCGATGTAAATCGAGGATTTTGTAAATTGAGGTTTAAACTTTTGAGAAAGATTTCACAACCTTGAAAACAAAAACTGTTTCATTTTGCATATCCTTGCACATTTAAAATTTGTAATAGATTAGTAGTGTATGTATTATTTTTTTATTAGGCTCTTATTTTCGAGTGTAGATGTAGTACTTAAACGACAAATGTGTTTTAATGTTTTGAAGTAATATTTATGTGGCAATGTGTGGTATGTGCAAATTTAAGAAAAAAAATATATTTTTCTTAACGGGTCATAACGGGTCGTGTCACTTTACCCCTGTTAAGGACCCGTTAAGATAACGGGTGTGACACGACACGACCCGTTAAGATAACAGGTGTTACACGAACACGACTGACACGACCCGTTTGCCAGGCCTACTTCTTACTCTTCGCTTTGGGTTATGAGAGTAGCTAGTTGTTCTGAATTAGACAAGGGTGGGAGTATAGTTATCATATTGGTGGTGTAATAAATACATGTGTCTGTGTGTGTGGTTTGTTATTTTCTCTAACTTCATTATGTATGCATACTGAATGTGTCCAGTACGAGGTTTGGGATGCTTAGTTGTTCTTTTATCTTTTAACTCATATCATAAATATATGGATATATTTAGTTTTTTCTATCTTTTTGCTTGTGAGATTTATGCTATTGTTGATTCTTGGATCAATTGAGTGTATGTAACACTCATCTTATAATCATTTTTGTGGATTCTTGCATGCAACGAGTGTATATAAGACTAATCTTATAATCATCTCTCACATGTTGGTTACCAAGCAGTTATTGCAAGATAGAGACATTGATAATACACATCTTATATTGTGCTAGTATTTTTTCTGTGATGACAGGTTTTGTAACCTAGGAGACTAGGAAGTTGATTGATGTAAATTTCCTAATCATCAGTACTCCTCCTGATTGTTATATATCCTCGCTTTTGATTATGGATGATGGTATAGTTTTCTGATTACGAGTTTATTTTATATTGGTGATGATGTAAATATAGCTAGGTTGGGATTAAGATCTTATAAATGTAACATATGACCATATTTGATATGGAGAAGTAGGCTAGACTAGGTTGGACTAGCTAAATAACAAGATCTATTGTGCAATGAAGGAAGACTATGAGTGTTGTCTTCTAATTTGGAGGGTTAACATGGACTACTCATAAGTGATGCCTAAACATATCCTCCCTAATCCCACAATTTAAAAGGGGATTAATGGGATAAGTTTTTGGCATAACCTCTTCGGAATATTCCATCTTAAATTCTTCAAGTTGGAATATCATATCCATATTCTTCATTGATGGTACATGAAATCTAGTGATTTAGCTAGCTAGTCGAGTCTAGCCCCATACATCAAACGTGGCCTATATTACTATGAATATGGATGTGCTTTTCGCACACCTTTTTAGCCTCTTACATACTCTTGTTTATCTTGGCCGATGATTCTTTTTTATTTATTCAATTCAATGGCCATAAATAATGAGGAGTGCATGTGTTGACCCTAAAAACTACTTAGCTTACGTGGTGCGCATGCCGAATAGCTAATGAGCTAACTACGTCCTTCAGTTGAATGCGGGGCGTGCCAACTCATTGACTGACCTCGATCGGTGAGTAAGTGAATGTTGTGGTGGTGTCAAACGTGCTACTGACTTTTGTTATCTGAGCAATTGCGACCGAGGAAGAAACTCATCTAGGCCTTTGGGCTCTAGAGCCAGAAGACAAAGTTGCTAGTTACTTCGAAGTTCAAATAAGGTTCGGCTTTCAATGTGCCAAACACCAACTAGGAACACCTCACTTTAGGCGAGAAGGCTAGTGAGATGACCTCTTTCAACAAGTACTCAAAGACTCCTTGTTGGTAGCAACTTAGATAGGTAGTCAACCAAGCTCGATCTAGTGTTGTTTCTACAAACTGGAAGGTGCTCCTCGATCGCATGACTCTACGGATTCAGTGTTGTTTATACAATCTATAAATGTCATCGGTTATTAAGCACAGTGCTATTTATACAAACTAGAAGATGTGCTTGACGAAATTAGGAAGGTTAGGGTTTTTCTCAAAGATAAGAGGGTTTCGCGTAGAGCGAGAATTTGCATAGCGCGTTTGTGTGTTAAGTTGAAGATCCCCAAATGTTGCAAAACCTCTTCTATTTATAGGAGTGGTTTTCATGTTGATCACCTTATGTCGAGGTAGAGTCGTATCTGGATTGTATTCCTTCAACATCCCTTGATCCAATACCACTTCATTCTGATCTCTGGATCGGACTTGGCCACTTCTATCAAAACTTCGAACTTTGAACCTAGTCCATTTTCTGTATTTAATTCATTCTTGGTCTTGATCAGCTATGAAGGTTGATTCTTGGAATATTATGAATCTTATCAACGTTCATCCTGATCCTTAACAATTTTACTCGATTTAGGACTCAACCAAATCCAAACTGACTCCCCAAGAGTCAAACATTGATTAGGATTTGGCTACCCCACCTTGGGCTGATGTGGTCTCGAAGAGCTATCCTGGGCACTGAAAGTCTTCATTCTGGGCCGAGTAGGCCGAGCTCAAAGTCACACTCAGTCCAAACCCAATATTTTGAGTCCAAACAGTATGAGAAGCTAAAAAGGGTGTGTAAAAATCACTTTGGAATGTACTTATCTTTTGTTTGTAGATGATCTGGCTTTGATGGAGTCATGGAGGGTTTTAGAGCTTGCTAGTGTTTATGGATATTGT